ATTCAAGAGTGTCATCCTAAACCTTGAAACTCTTTCACTTTCAGAATTTTAAAAGATGTTACGGTGCCAGCAAGGAATTTGTAAACTCGTATGAATTATGGAGAGGTCACTTCAAGGAAATAGAAGGTGAGCGCACATGGTGGCCTTAGTTTGTTACAGATTCTCCTGACTGGTATTGAAAGAACTCTATGTTAATCACTTAGGAGAATTAAGATCTCGAGATTGGATACTTAGTATGCCAGCTGTTACGGTGATTTTTGGTGAATTAGACAAAATGAGAAGAAAGAGTGTATGCGATAATTAAAACAACCCCTCAGTAATATTTTGCTACGTTGGTTACTGTATGCATATTACTGCCAAATTTCTTTTCTTAGAGATGTAAACTTATCATGCCTCCATGTTAAAATGAACTGATTTGTTACTGATTCCATCTTGCTGTATCAATTTTGTTGCCAGGGTCATTTGGAAATGGAGTCCTGTCTTATTTCACATTTCTCAAATGGCTGCTTCAGTTGAACGTCTACATTTTCATTCTGACTCTGTGCTTCGTGATCATTCCTCAAGCCATCAGCACAGGAAAAGAACTCCCGTTGAACCAGACTCCTCAAAACGCCTCCAATACGACAATAACCTCATCCAGTTCCTCAGCCATTGTTCCAACAACTGTAACAGCATCTCCCGCGGTAAGGCGGAGAAGAGACGTGGCGCCCAACGCCACCGAAGAAGAAACTGATCGGAAATGCCATCTGGTGAAACCAAATGATTATTCCCTTTATACAAACAAGCCTTTTGCACAACTCCTCACAGACTTCTTTTCTGGCATCGTAAGTTGGCATGCCTGTCAAGTCGCTGTGATGTCTTAAGATATTTTACCGACTTTACTCATGCAAATGTAGATGTAGATCTGTATTTTATCTAATACAGTCGTTTTGCAGTTTGTACAGTTAACGGCGGACGGAAATCAAGAGTTAGTTTGTTCACTGACGTGTTTTCTGTATCGTAAGGGTGACCCGTCTGTACTTTCTAAGATAATGATAAAGGTAAAGTCTGTCTTCAACCCCAGTCGGTTACCATGACGATGTCGACACGCAAGAATAATCCATGAAGGGCTAACCCTATAATATGTCTCTCACTTACCCTCTTAATTTGACCATTTGTCACCTATTTTCTTTAGGACTTTTCCCTCTTTTATACTGAATAACTTTACCCGTAACACGACATAACATGTCTTCATAGTGGAGACAGTTTGAGCTTGGCAGTTTTTTCAAATAAGTCGACAGTGTTGATAGTTTCAATCCATTTGAGAGAATATACAAACTAGTTTCAGCTCAACTTTACTAAGTTTGGCGTGTTCACTATGTCGGACCATAGCCCAACGACTTTCTATCTCAGTGACACGAGACCACTTTCAGTATATTCAATAAATAATTTAGTCTTTTAGCTGGCTACGTCACGGTTTGCGCGTCTTGAAAAGTTTAGCCTAAATTTTTCAAGTTCTTCGCTTGTAATCTGTGTCAATCTTCTCCATCCTTAACCATCCTTGTGCCGTTTTGATTTATTATCATCTCTTTGGTGTTTTTCTATCTTGGTATACGTGGCCAAAATAACTCGAAATACCGTGAATAAGCTCCTTTAAGTGCCCCGTTCTATTTGAATTGTAGGGCTGGATCAACACGACTTTCATGTTCTATGGAAGGTACTCCGACAAAGTCTTGGTATTGCCGAGTGGTGAGAAGACTTACTACAACATGCCGCTGGCCTATTTTATAGTTGGCTGTTTCTGCTTTCTAGTCATTCTTCTTTCCATCTTGTGGAGGTAAGAGTAAGACATAACTTTAGCCTAAATTCTTTTTTTCTGTAGGAAAAAAAAATATGGCGGCTGTACATTTTATCACATTACCATTCAAACCTTACACAGCCCGTAAAGTATAAGGAAAGCAATATTTTGCAATATTTGCCTTTCCTACGCAGTAGAATAGATATTTCCGCTCTGTATATTTGAGTTGTGCGATTGGTTCAAGAATTTCGCCCAAGAGATAGTTCTAACTAGTAAGTGGTTCAATCGACTCGTAAAACCAAACTGTATGTACAATTGATTGTTTCAGTGCTTCGCAGATATTTGAGGAGAGTTACGTAAAGGAAGGTAGTAAATATTCTCACACGTACGCGAATAAAGTGTTTGGCGGCTGGGATATGTGCATCGAAGACGAAGCTGCGGGAAAATTGCAGACTATGAGGATCGTCAAAGAGATCGAGGTAAGACTGATACGTTCTCTCTTTTTAAAGGCAACACTGTACAAATTTACTGTATTGGTAAGTCTCTTGGAATTATTGTCTCTGCGGAAGCAACACGGACTATTTAAACCCTGAATAATGTATTTCAGTATGTTAGAAGGCTTAGACATGTAGCTTACATCTACTTGTAAGAAATCTGGAAAAAAATGTTCTATTTTTCTTTTAGAAACGCCGCGAGAAAAGAAAGCAAAATCACTCGATTTTTTTGTGAAAATGTAAATACTCTTTTCTCCCACCATCATTGCGTCAACATTGCGCACTTCCTTAAGCCTGGTTTTTACTACTTGTGCGACATAAGCACAAGCACGAGCACAAGTACAAGCTTAAGCATAACGGTAGCGAGGACGCCGAAGTAAGGACGTAAGTATAAACAAGATGGATAATTGCCTTATTTCAAGTTCCATACCTCCTGAATACAGTAAAACAGAATGGAGGACGATGCTTTTGCCTATGCTTATGCTTATGCTTAGAGCAGCGCGTTTTCACTTGACATAAGGATAAGCACAAACACAAGAAGAACAAAAATGTTTGTTCTGCTTGTGCTAGGGTTGTGGGCATCTTTACTAATGTTATGCTTATGCTTGTGCTTGTTTTTATGTCGTAGTGAAAACCAGGCCTTACAGGGTGTTTTTAATACTTGATTCATTTTTTTTTAGGTTGATCTTGCAGAAGACTTAAGACTTGCGACTTTGGCCCAAAGAACAAAGAAGGAAATCTATAAACTGTACGCAATAAGGATTCTTGTCAATCTGATTGTACTTGGGCTGCTGGGTGTGTCAGCTTACCTTATTTTTATGGCCAGTCAGTTGTCCGTTACGGTAAGAAACAGTGAAATGATGAATTGCCATTAACATAAAAGTTGGCTAAAAAGCATGGTCATTGTTTATAGCGGCCCAAACTTTCGGAAACCGTGGTTATGTCTCATAGCTCTTGTTCATGTTGACAACATTGACGTCATTTTCGATCACGAGCGCACTGTTGTGATTGGCTCTCCACTCCATGTTCGTTTGCTTTCGTTTTTTTACGAATGCTGCGAAATGCGCCTTTAACAGTCCCTTTGACTTCACGTGAACAAGCGTCATTTTGAGAGGGTTACTAGTCTTCGGTTATATTATAAAAACGCACCCCGTGTTTTTTTTTCTTTTATTTGTTTATTTAAATTATTTCTTTAAGCAGAGTGTTTGTCACATTTTTAATTCATGTTTCTTTTTTCGAGGTAGACTTCGCAAGATAATCCGGATTTTAAGGCGTCAATTAAGACAGATTTCATTCAATTCTTGCAAAGCTACGCTTCACCAATCACACTCTCCGCCTTAGGATTCATTGNCTTTGACTTCACGTGAACAAGCGTCATTTTGAGAGGGTTACTAGTCTTCGGTTATATTATAAAAACGCACTCCGTGTTTTTTTTTCTTTTATTTGTTTATTTTAATTATTTCTTTAAGCAGAGTGTTTGTTACATTTTTAATTCATGTTTTTTTTTTCGAGGTAGACTTCGCAAGATAATCCGGATTTTAAGGCGTCAATTAAGACAGATTTCATTCAATTCTTGCAAAGCTACGCTTCACCAATCACACTCTCCGCCTTAGGATTCATTGTTCCCAGTATATTCTTCTTCTTTTCCCGGTTGGAGGACTGGAATCCAAGAGTCAGAGTCAACGTTGACTTGGCCAGGTATGTCACTGGTGCTGCGTCACCGTAAACGAGAGTGCAAACGAGGTTGCTTCCAAATATGGCGCGTCTATAGCGCGCGTATGAAAAAAGCGGGAAAAAGAAAGCATAGGTGAAGGCGTTCTTCTCACATATCCCTTGTCAATTGCTTGCATGTGCCTGTTATTTCTCTCCGTTGTACTCGATCAAACTTCAGCTAGTGTAGCTATTTCCAACCTTTGCCCACTATTTTAACCACTCACACCGAAGTCTTGATTTATCTTAGACTAAACAATTGGTTAGTAATTTGTAATGTTCGGATTGCTGGGTTTTCTTTTGGGAACCCAGGGGCTTTCATTAAACTGTTATAAAAACAAAAACCAAACCAAACCGCCTTCTGTAACATCTTTTTCGTTCAAATTTTCAGAACTGTGCTTCTTAAGCTGGCTTCAATTGCAGTACTGCTTGTTTCGCTTTACAATCGAATTAACGAGACCTGTATGCTGGTAAGTCAGATACCGGTACCCTCTTTCTAGTCATACTGCATGTTACGTGTAACTCCTTCAATTGTGTTGTAGAATTTGGGTGGCTGTAGTAGTCGTAGCGATATTTCGTCCATTCTTCCGTCAGTCAGTCAGTCCCTCAATCTTTGTTTGTCTGTCTTTCTGTCTGTCTGTCTTTCTGTCTGTCTGTTAGTCAGTCCGTCAGTCACTCAGTCAATCAGTCAGTCAGTCAGTCAGTGAAAGATGAAAGTGCCTATTTTAAGTTATTTTAAATTTTAATTTTTTGTCCATTAGTGCTGGGAGAATGTCATTGGTGCAGAAATGTTCAAGTTGATATGGACTGACTTTTTCGTCACAATTCTGGTTATCGTCGTAGTCCAAACGCCTCGGAGGTAACGACAGCATTTTATTGCCATTATATACGTCTTTGCTTCGACCATTTACGAAAGTGCTTTACGTTTGTTATTCAGTAACCTCTCAGTAATATTTTTGTTCCTTTAAAGGAACGTTTCGTGTCGTTTACTTATCGTCGTTTATAATTTTTCTTTAGGTATTTTGCTGATTATGTTAGTTTAGGATGTGACCTGGGAAGGAAAATTGGCCGCGCCGAATTCAATCTTCCAAATAACGTTCTGGATCTTGTTTATGGCCAGTCTCTGATATGGTATGTGTATGTGTTCACATCTAGATCTTGTGTAGTAAATTTAGAGCGTTCGCAATTGGACAGTGATCATGCTTGGTTTGTGTACTTAACTGCGAGATCATTCATGTCTTTACGATGATCAATGTATGTGTTTGTAGGAGCCTTATTAAAGGACTTGAAAGAGCTAAGAAGCTATCGATGTACAGCAATACCCCTCCCCCCCTAACCCGGTCAAACTAAGGAAGAGGAGGGGGACAGAACATTTTCTTAAGGTTCAGAAGGCACCTCTATCAAAAGAAAGGAGCTAAGAATCCATCGATGTACAGCCTAACAGAGCATACTAAAGAAGGGACAGGGGCGGGATGAACACCTCGAAATTCTGAAAGCGCTTCTCTCAAAAAGAAGGACCTATGAATCCATCCATATAGAGCCTTACGCAGAGCAAAGTAAGGAAGGCGATGGCGAAGACTAAACACCTTCTCGAAGTTCTGAAAGCACCCTTCTCAAAAGTACAAAGATAATATCTTAAAGGGGGCAAGGAAAAAGGCATAGGCAGGAAATGTTATAAATGGGAGATATATCCGCCTAATGCTGCTTTGAACAACCAAGCATCGCTAATTGTACCCGGTCTTTGCTTATGATTAAACCTCGTTACAATTTATTTCAGGATTGGTACATGGTACAGTCCATTTCTACCGCTAATGGCGATCATTAAACTTCTAATTACTTTTTACGCCAAGAAGGTAAGGGTGAGAGAAGTATGGCCCCTTGTAAAAAGTATGATATAGTCGATCACAGTCATGTTCAGGAGATAAAATACTGAGGGATTAAAGCTAATATAAGAAGGCTAGATTACTCTAAAATAATAAAATTTAATAATTCAATTTGATCTAAAAATGATTAAAAATCGCTTACCTGAGTTCATTAATGTTCTTCAGTTCTCGCAGTTTACGGGGTAAATTATTCAGAGAGTCAATAGGCAGATAAAAATTTCACCCATTCAAATTAAAATCAGGTTGGTGTAGAGAAGTTCCATTTCCCCTCAGATCATATCCGGCGTTTTAATGTATTAACAATTTAATCCAATTCAGTTTTCAATATATATCGTTTTACCTTGCAAGATTACAAATTTTGAGGCAGAAATCCTTTCATATCAAGCGAATGAGTGATGAATATGTTCTGATACCTCTCTGTTTTTCACAGGCGACCGTAGTTTATAATAGTAGTACCCAAGAGAAAGCTTACCGTGCCGGGAGATCAAACTACTTCTTTATGATTCTGTTGCTCGGCACATTTCTTCTTTGCCTGGCCGCAGTGGCTTATGGAGTAACACAGTAAGCATTACTATTCGAAGTGTGATTAAAGCTAAATATGTTTACAACCACAGGTAGGCTGTTACTTTACCGCGTGTGAGATTAAGTCTTCGATTTACCCACTACCTTCAACCTTTTGAATTCCGTTTTATTGCCGAGGGACTCTTATGTAAAAGCAACGAAGATTGACCACATACCAAAGGTACTCAATCCCGGTTAAGAGCCCCATGGGACTATTCTCACAAAACGAATATGACGACACCGAGCTAGTACTCAGTCTTATTCCTCGGTCTCCGAGAAACGAGGTTTAAATTGGATATGACTTTAAGTAGAGACTTATTTTGGTAAATCAAGATACATTGAACTTTTTGTGAACTTCTCATCCTATTACTTGCCTCGTGATTGAAAGGATTTCACATAATGGAATTACAACATTTAATTCAGTTGTTACGTTCTTCATTTTTTCCCCAGGATCCGTCCATCAGAGTTGTATGGACCATTCAGGTGAGTTCTTAACACCTCGAGTTTCTGAGCTCTAATTTTAAATCGTGCTTAAATAAAGGTTGAATATCTGTCTGTCTGTCTGTCTGTCTGTCTGTCTGTCTGTCTGTCTGCCACTGTGGGTTTTTACAGTTCAATAACAAAAATCTCATTACTGTGCTCGTACATTTTCTTTGATTTTCTTGAAAGAATTTGATTCGTTACTGAAGACCTTTAAGCCCAGTACAAAGGAGAGCTGGAGTTGAATTGTGACAGTTGAAACGTTAGTCGTCTTATCCCACTGCGGAGAGCACAAGACAACTCGCAGTTTAGGCTAAATTGTGCGCCAATCGAGTAAAGTCTCTCGACGATTCTCTTGAAAAATAGAGATCTCGAGCTGTAATAGACTCGATTTCCGCCTCCTTCTCGAACAGCGGCTGGTAATCAAGCCTAGAGCTGCATTCAGTCTACATGTAAAGAGACCTCAGTTCAGCTTGATATGGCTTTATTCTTGAAATTTTCAGAGGATTGAATGGAGTTTACGACATCATTCCATGGACGGTATCAATTCTTCCTGGCGGATTTCGTGACACTTTCCGCATTCTCAGCTCGCCCGTCTTTCTTGTTGTGCTTGGAGTGGTTATCTGGTAAGCGCTTATGCGTGATCAACGTTACGCTCCGTTACGTTACCTTAGGTTTCAAACTGACGCCTGACTGGTGAATCCTTTTTTTTTTCAGTCTTGGTTTGTATTTTTTCTATGCCATTGCCAAGGTTTACCGAAGAATGATTAATGGCCTTAGGGAAGAACTCAGTATGGTATGTATACTTCAGCTGGAAGTCAATCTAGATAGTGTCTATATGGTGAAGTCCCGTTACAAGCCGCAATGAATTATGGATATGAACACGCACTAACTTTCGATTTCAGGAAGTGCACCAGGGAAAAGTCTTTCAAAGGAAGGCACTGACGAGCGTTTTAAGTTCTCTTAACTGGTAGCAAAGTAACAATCTCGCTGACAACTTTTGTTTGTAAATCAAGGATGGAAATAACTTTAATTCGATTTTTTTAAACCCTATAAAACTGTGCAATAGGGGATTCAGTTCGCAGAATTTGGTGTTACCTACGGATGGACTAGCCGATTCCGTTCAGGGCAAAATGTATTACTCCCTTTCGCTTCATTCTGACATACACCTCGTGTCACAGTGCTTTGAAACAAACTACGTTCCTCACAGTAGGGTCTATTCTTAAAATGTTTCGTGACTTATTAACATACGTTCACCGAAATACTGCTAATCTTCTTTCTTAAAAAAATTCAGTCTACTTTTATTTCTCCCTCTAAAGGAATCCCGAGACAAGAAGTATCTTCTGCAGTTCTTTACAAGTCAAGAGAAACCTTGAATGCCTGGCAATCAATATCACTTTGCTGTAGAAGGAATCCAGAAGTAAACTTACAGTGCAAAGTGACATGCTTCATACCTTTGATTTCGCTCTGCGAAGTCATTTTGCTCGTGGGAAAATGAAAATCAACATATGACATGTCTCCTATCAATTAATTCAACTTAATTTTGTTCAGTGTAACATACTGTTATTTTACGTTTTTTGTAGAGTCATTTTGGGGACCTTTTGTAAAGTCTCTTATGGAAGCTTTGTCACAAATAGTACTAAATAAGAATTGCTTTAACCTAAAGTCAACGCGGGAGGAGACAACGGCAAATAACTACCACGCAAAAGTCTCAGTCCTCGCGCGGCCATGCTATCTCTCCGCCATTATTATCTGACAATAGACGGGAAGGGATGGACTACTTTCAGTAGTCTGTAATGAACACAGACTACAATGTCTTAGAATTGTAAATTTGGAAGTTATGTGAGCACTTTTCGCACACATCCAAGCAAATGGTCTAAATAAAGTAAGGTATATTTTTCCAAATGGTGCATTCCAACGAGGAACATGCTTTGTAATGGTTTAAAGGAAGTTCTGAATTAAGTTTATTTCGTAGATAAATGATGTGTATTTCTAAGTAAATACATAGGATCAAACCGGAGTTTATTTCCATAAATATCGTTCATTTTGCCCAAAACAGTTTTTACTCTTGACTGAGTAAATACATGCGATTAGAACAGAGTTTTTTTTTCTTCGCTGTCCATCATTTTCTAAGTCCTGTGACAAAAATCTTTTCGAGGGGAAATATTTTCCCAAAGTTCTGGCCGAATTACCCATTTCGCCTTTTCAAAAGTATTTTAATCCTTTTAAGTCTAAGAAAAATCCCCCAAAATTTCCTTTCCAATCAATCGATATCCACTCGGAGCGTTCCAAACTTCGGCGCCAAAAAGGGGTTTGCAATCTTCGTACAACACACGAACTTGATGGCAACAATCGGAGAGCATGGATCGTCATAGTTCACGTACCCAGCCCGAATCTCTGCTCGGAGCCAGTCGGTCAACCGACGAAAATCGTCGGGCGTGAAAAACAACTGCACAACCAAAGCGAGAACTCCATCGCCTATTGGCTCGTGATGCGCTTTCATCACTTCATGTAACAGTGATGATCTGTTGCCAAAGCTTCCAAGCAGAATGATAGAGGCGGATGCGTTTTTGTGGACGTAACCGTCTCTGGCAAATCCACCTTTTTCTAGAATGCCATCTTTTCCGAATAGCTGGAACATTACATTGGCCATGTAACTGTTTATGGGGAAGTTGATTGTGGCTGATTTGAAAGTGGGTTCAGGAGTCGGTGTTGGTATCTCGTCTCGTTTGAGGTCTGCTTCGTCTGTGAACTTTCCCTGTGCATCTTCATGGGCTGATGAGTTCTTTACAATCTTGGCAACTGGTTCCTGGTAGCAGTGCAACAGAACTAGAAAAAGAAGGCTATTAATTTATTACACTTGTTACAAACATAGAGCCAGACTGATGGCAGTCGGTCTTTTCTGTTGGGTTAGACTAGTGTTTCACCGGCGAAAGCAAAACCATGTCTCGTCCCAATCGCATCTTTTCTGAAACGTTTCTTATCATAATTGCTGCATAATTTCGAGAGAAAAATAGACTACTTGTACTAACAGTCTAACATAAACCCAGGTTCGTACGCAACAAATGTGGGTCGTGGACACAGAAATTTTAAACCAAGGCAGTTATTCGCTCATATCTGGAAATGATATGTATACATTAAGTTTACGGATTCAAAATTACGTCGTGGCTTGTAACTAGTAGCTTCTAGTTAATAGAAGCCAACTTTGAAAACGGCTGGATATTAGGCAAGATTTTGTACTCATGTAAAAGAAAAAGAGACATTAAACTTAAAGAGAAAAAATAAAAGCCATCTGATAAAGTTTGGGGCTCCTCAGTAAAATTTTACCAGACTGTTTGCTATAAAATCGACCACCAGCTAGGCTCTCTAAAACTTCTTTTTTCTTCTAGCTTAGTGCTCTACTGGTCTTAGGATCTAGCTTTTATAAGTAGCGAACTGTACATATATAAAACGTTTTACTCGTCTAAAATTAGTCTTAAAGTTGAGTTCTAAACGACATTTGTGTTTCACCGATAATCATTACTATGTATCTAAGCAGGACAATATTCTTAGAGTTGTTTTGAAACGTTTACTCCTTCGAGGGCGTGAGAATTGGCACGGTATTCACTTGTGAAAGACGTCAAGCCAACCTTTGATATCACACAAACACCGTACTTCACTCCGCTATGAGTGGGCAAGATAGCACTTACTTTTAATAGTTCGGAGTTCAAGGGCCAAAAAAAAAAAAAAATAGAATCACTAGAAAGAAGCCGCGATCTATTATAAATATGTGATACATTTTAGAAATGCTACTTACCACTTACTTGAATGGCATATGAGGAAAAAAAAAAAACGTGCTAGCCGACACATCGAGTTTACAGATTATAATTGCTCGTTTTGATTTTTTGTTGAATCCTGTAGTCACAAATATTGCACGAATTTCTTCGATATAGAGCTTAGCATCAAAGCGAAATGAGGAAAATACACTTCAAAAAGGACGAGCGTCCACATTCAAGGGAAATCAGAATATAGCATTATTGAACTTACATCTAAAGGTGTTTTTGGTGGCTTCGTTGATCGAGCGACTTTCACGCGAAGCTGAAAGCGTTGTCGTTCCTAATGCAAGCGCTGCCAGCAAAAGTGGTAATTTTTCCATTGCCATCGGGCACAAAGCAAAGCTTCTTGTACGAGCGATGTTTCCAGAGCCATGAATTAAGACTCAAATTGCCAAAGTCGTCGGTTTCCCTGGATACAAGCACCTTATTGCGAGAATTCCTCAATGAATTTCATTTGATTGTGTACATAAAGTGTTGGGTTTTCTATTGTTGCGCCCCTTCGGGAACGTCGCTTAATTACATCCTCGAGGTAATATTTTAAAAAGAGAAACACTTTTTCATAACTTTTATTTTCACCAGTTGATATAAGAGTCATATATATAGGGAATTAAATAAAGAACGCAGACTACGAGCTCACGGTACAACGGAAGGCGATTGATTAGTTGCTTTCAAACAAAAGTGATTACGTTAAATATCATACAAGTTTGATTCGTAATTCTACATTAGAAGTATGGATTCGATTTCATATCGTAATCAGGTTTTACCAAAGCTTAAAACGTAACTGCAAAATCTAAACTGCATAATTACAACATCTCATAAAAACCAAACTAGTGCATCTTTTACTTATAGACCTGTTACATTTTGTTGGCCCATTATAAAAAGGACTGACGGTTTGAAAAAAATACAATTTCTAGACGCTATGCCAAATCTATTAATTTGATTAGCAAAAACCACTATTACGCCTCCGGCAAAAGCATCTCGTGCCCCCAGCCCCCAAGGGGTACTAGGGATTTCAAGTGACGGGGATGATCGAATGGGGGCAAAAATCAGCCCCCCTCCCAAAAAAAAAAAGAAAAAAAAAATCTCTAGGGCTTCCTCAAAATCTCCAGAACTCCCCGGACCAAAACCTAACCCCAAGAAAATCCCTTACCGAAACGGATGCGATGTAATACGACACCATCGTTTTAAAAATATTAAAGAAAGTTTGGTTGTAATATATTTGCAGAACTACGTGGCCGGGGAACAACCACGAATCTTCAGACTATTTTGCATCACGTCAAATCCGGTTTAATTTTCTGCTGGCCAGTTTTAGTTTCAACAAGCAATACCTGGTAGTTTAGTGCCTTAAACAAGAGAGTGGAGGGTAAGACATTGCTTTATTGCACTCTGTCAGTTAACCTTTTACATCAGTATCTTATTTCTCCTAA